CTCAGATAAAAACAGGCATGGAGAAATATGTTAGCCTCAACAAGTGGGAGAAATATTGGTGTGTGGTTCCAGGACAGCGGTTTCCTTTGCAGCGCTATTTCATTTCTCCCAACTCAAAAATAGAACACAGAATCATAGGACTGGAAGGGACCTGGGCGTTTTTTAAAACCTCCAGTGATGGAGCACCCACACCTTCTGGAGGCAAGCTATTCCATTGATTAATTGCTCTCACTGTCAGAGAATTTCTCCTTATTTTTAGGTTGTCTCTCTCTTTTGACACCCGTTATTCTTGTCCTGCTCTCCTGGTGCCCTAGAGCAGGGGTGGGCAACCTTGGCTCTTTTATGACTCATGGACTTCAATTCCCAGAATTCTTGAGCCGGCCAATGCCGGCCCAGGAATTCTGGGAGTTGAAGTCCACGAGTCATAAAAGAGCCAAGGTTGCCTACTCCTGCCCTAGAGAATAAGTCAATCCCCTCTTCTTTGCGACAGCCCCCTCAAGTACTAAGCGAGCCACGGTTTAGCAGAATGTGTAAATGCAGTGTGTTGCAGACTTGGCAGAAATTTTAGCAATAAAAAGCCCTTTGGGACAGAAGTCTAGAGTCCCACTGAGGCGAACGTACACTATCCATGAGACCCTTCATGTTGGAAGGGATCTTGAAGGTCTTCTAGTCCGACCCTCTGCTCAAGAAGGAGACCCTACACCATTCCAGACAAATGGATGTCCATTCTCTTCTCAGAAATCTCCAGTGATGGAGCACGCACAAGTTCTGGAGGCAAGCGGTTCTGCTCATTCATTGATCTTTGTAGTTGTTGTTGTTAGTTACGAAGTCGTGTCCGACCCATCGTGACCCCATGGACAACGTTCCTCCAGACCTTCCTGTCCTCTACCATCTTCTGGAGTCCATTGAAGCTCACGCCTACTGCTTCGGTGACTCCGTCCAGCCACCTCGTTCTCTGTCGTCCCATTCTTCTCTTGCCCTCCATCTTTCCCAGCATCAGGCTCTTCTCCAGTGAGTCCTTCCTTCTCATTCGGTGGCCAAAGTACTTGAGTTTCAACTTCAGGATCTGGCCTTCTAAAGAGCAGTCAGGGTTGATCTCCTCCAGGACTGATCGGTTTGATCGCCTTGCAGTCCAGGGGATTGATTTTCATTGATCATTGATCATTGATCTTAGTATCAGGAAATTTCTCCTTGTTCTAAGTTGCTTCTCTCCTTGACTAGTTCCCATCTGTTGCTTCTTGTCCTGCCGTCAGATGCTTTGGAGAATAGGTTGACCCCTTCTTCCCTGTGACATAGATCCTTAAGAATCAGAGAAAAGTAGATCCCTCTAATGATTCCCCACCACCACCACAAAGTAGTACGGAGGCCTTAGAAACTAGAAACGTAAAAGTGGGCTGGGGAGCAGAAATCTAAGGAAGAAGATTGGGAACAGCTCAGATCATCTTCTAGGCAGTTCAGTCTTTTATTGAAACAAGGCGAATATATATTGCTAATTCACTTTGCTTTCCACCTCATAAGACCCTTGAGTCGAGGAATGAAAATTAAGTGCTCCTCTCCTCTTCACGCTTTCATCGCTTCTAGTCAGAGGTCATTAAAAAGAGTTCAAGGCAATCATCACAAGTCTAATGGTATAGTTTAACATACCATGTCAGATACAGGCTCAATTCCATTAATTAAGGCAAAAGTGTATTTCCTAGACAGGGCAACGTATGCTAGCAGGGCCTGTAAGAAGAGTAGGCAACCTGCGGTGGCAATGACATCAGCCTAATTTTTTAAAAAAATCGAATTCTGACCCTCAAAATTATTAAAAGAGAGTTCTAAAAAGATGGATGGCTTGCTTCCTCCTGCTGCTTTTGAGGGAGAAAGGGGTCAGAAAGAGGAGATGAATGAAAAAGGGGGGGGACTCAAAGACGAGACCTTGCCCCCACCCACTGATTGATTCATCCCCACCCATCGCCCCAGGAAATGCAGCCATTGACTGGGGGAAAAAAGTCAGCCCAGCCATGCTCTGAAATATAATTTCTGCCGTGGTGGTATTGATGATGCCTTTCCTCCTGTTACTCGAGACAGCTTTATAGAACTGGGAAAGTGCCACTCAGGAAAAATAGCTTACTAGGAAACAGAGGGAAGAACAATCCAAGTAGGCAATAAAACACTTCTTTTCTCTCTCTCTCTCTTTTTTTTTTTTTTTTTGGTTATCACCATAATACAAAAAAAATAAAAGATGTGGAGACTCTACAAAGAGTGCAGAGAAGAGCAATGAAGATGATTAGGGGCCCAGAGGCTCTGTCTGTCTGTCTGTCTGTCTGTCTGTCTATCTATCTATCTATCTATCTATCTATCTATCTATCTATCTATCTATCTATCTATCTATCTATCTATCTACGTATCTATCTATCTATCTATCTAATCTATCTATATCTATATATCATCTCTCTCTCTCTCTCTCTCTCTCTCTCTATCTATCTATCTATCTATCTATCTATCTATCTACGTATCTATCTATCTATCTATCTATCTATCTATCTATCTATCTATCTATCTAATCTATCTATATCTATATATCATCTCTCTCTCTCTCTCTCTATCTATCTATCTATCTATCTATCTATCTATCTATCTATTACTATCTATTATCTACCTACCTATCTACCTACCTAAGTATCTATCTACCTACCTACCTACTACCTACCTATCTATGTATCTATCTGTTTATCTATCTATCATCTCTTTGTCTCTCTCTCTACCTACCTATCTACCTACCTACGTATCTATCTATCTATCTATCTATCTATCTATCTATCTATCTATCTATCTATCCACCTACTACCTACCTACCTACCTACCTATCTACCTATCTATCTATCTATCTATCTATCTATCTCTATATATCATCTCTTGTCTATCTATCTATCTATCTATCTATCTATCTATCTATCTATCTATCATCATCATCATCATCTCTTTGTCTCTCTCTCTCTCTCTCTCTCTACCTATCTATCTATCTATCTATCTATCTATCTATCTATCTATCATCTCTCTCTCTCTCTCTCTCTACCTACCTACCTACCTATTCTAATGAAGAGAAGGACTAGGAGTGACATGATAGCAGTCTTCCAGTACATGAGGGGCTGTCACAAAAGGACTACATAAAAATATGGTACCGTGTGCAACCTGTATCTCCAATCTCTGAAGACAAATAGATTTCCTAAATAGGAAAGTGCTGCGGCAGACAAGAAGCAGACAAGAGTAAAAGGCACACGCACACAATGAATGGGTTACACAACAACAACAAACATCCTGTTGCGGATGAGATGTCAATCCTGTTCTCGTCTCCACAGCGACAAAGCTATTTATTTTGTTAACATACTTTATATCGCACCCATTTCCACCAAGTCTGGGTGGTGACATTAAAAAAAAACAAAACCACCCTTAAATCTCATTAAAAACAACCTCGAACCAATCCTTTTAAAACAACAAACATCCTTAAAAACAGCAGGGATGGGACAGACTCATCAAGACCTCACGGTGTCAGCTGCCAAATTTTCAAACACAACGCACCCCGTTGGCCAGCCTTCCTTTACAAAACAGGCAAAAAATAGTAATAAAGGAGCATAGATTGGAAAGCAGGTATTTGAAAACTTACAAAGGGATGTGACAAACACGCAGGGTGTCGGTACAAATTAACCATTCTTGGACAGAAATTCCCCAGGGAGAATTTAACATGGAGCAGCTGAACGACGGTGCCACCGACTCTGATTTTCGACGTCTTCTGGGATAAAAATTGGAGTCTCCTCACTTTACCAACAGAGGAAGATGACCATCCCCAAATGTTTCACGAACAAGCAGGGCCAACAACGTCCATTTAGTCCTCGAGTTACAGCTGTTCATTTAGTGATCGGGCAAAGTTTGCAATGGGACCGGAAAATGAGAGACTTTATGGCCCTTTTTCCCATTTTGCAGCCTCCCCGTGGTCACGTGATCAAAATTCGGATGCTTGGCAACTGGCGTGTACTTAGGACGGTGGCAATGTCCCCGGGGTCACGTGATCTTCCGCCAAGCCAAGTCAAAGGGGGGGAAGCCAGATTCACTTAACAACTGTGTGACTAACTTAACAACTGCAGGGATTCACTTAATGACTGTGGCAAAAAAGGTCGTAACATGGGGCAAAAATGCACTTGGCTAAGGTCTCACTTAGTGACAGAGGTTTTGGGTTCAACTGTGGTCATAAATCAAGAACTACCTGTCGTTCTTCATTCCCTTTTGATCTTTTTGTTTCTATCTTGTGAAACGGAGGATGGCTCCTTGAAAAAAGATCTTGTTTATTTCTTATTTATATATATATCAAACTCCTTAACCGCCCATCTGCCTATTAGGGGGGCTTGTACCATAGTCCGCTGTTTCTCAATCTGGGCCTGCGTGGACTTAAAACTCCCAGAATTCCCCAGTCAGCCGTTGGTTCCTTGGCTAAACTGCTCTTACATTACAAGGTAGGCAACTGATGACGTTACCTAGTTTGGGTCATGAAACGTCTGCAAGAAAACAAGCAAGCTCGGAGACCACGAAGGAACCCGTGTAGGTAGCATCATCAGTGCTAGAGTGGGGTTTGTGGGGAGGAGGAGGAGGAGGAGGGGAGGAAGAGGAAGAGGAGGGGGAGGAGGAGGAGGAGAAAAAGGAGGGGGAGGAAGAGGTGGGAGGAAAAGGAGGAGGACAACGACTGTGGGGTTTTAATGCTCTCTGAGCTTGGTTGCTTTCCTGCAGATGTTTCATAACTATCCAACAAAGTACCACCATTTTGTAACTCAAGACTTCCTGTATCTCAAGACCGTCTCTGTGAGCAGAAAAACTAAACTCCAACCTCTGGGTCTGTAGGGAAGGGGTCTGAAACCTTGACAATCGACCGCTAGGTTCTATTTCGATAACCGCGAGCTAGCCGGGGACCATCTGGTAGAAGCCCCCACCTTCCTGTTGCCAACCGGTTGGTTTTTCCGGCCACTTACTTGGGGGTGTGAGACTCATCCACCCGATTGCCCAGCTGGAACTCGTGAGACTTGCTCCGGTGCAAGACGGTGAAGCCCGGGAAGAGGTGGATCAGTTTCCGAGACGAAGGAGGCGGCGTGCCCGGGGGTCTCACTTTGTTCCTCCGCCTGACTGGCGGCGTCCCCGGAGCGGTGATGGTGGCGATTATATTCGGGGTGGAGGGCGGGGTGTGGGCTGCATGCCGCTGGCGTGGGGAAGGGGGCAAGGAGCGGTGGCCAGACTCCAGCGGAGGGCAGAGTCCGGGAAAACCCTCCACGGTTAGCCTGTCCGTGTGCGTGTAGACAAGCTCGTGGGACAACGTGGGGTGGCAGTAGTGTGGAACGCCCTTGGACCTGGGCTTGGGACTCAGAGAGAGGTGAGTTCGGATCCACTGCATGGATTCGGATTGGCACATGATGCTGTTTTCTCTGCTGCTGGTCTCGGACGGGGCTGGCCACTGGATGGTCCAGTCTTGTTTAGAAAGACTACCTCCTGTGGAGAGGGGGGAAAAAAGGAAAGAGAAATAGCAATCGGGCTTACAGTTGGAAGCCTGGCCCCACAGCACCTGCTCTGTCGGAAGGGATGCACGTTACAATTTAAATCAGCTTTAAACTGACTTCCTAGGTCAGGGCTAGGCAACCTTGGCTCTTTGATGACTGGTGGACTTCAACTCCCAGAATTCCTGAGCCAGCGTGGCTCAGCTTGGAAACCTCTCCCTTTCCCCTCAGCGTGGCTGGCTCAGGAATTCTGGGAGTTGAAGTCCATGAGTCATCAAAGAGCCAAGGTTGCCTACCGCTGCCATAGGTGAATACATCCAATGGTGCTGAGATAGAAATTGGACTAATTTGAAGGAAGAAGCTGCAGATGGTTAAACGGGAAAACATTTGGACATGATGTCAGAACGGCTTTCCCGATTCCTCTATTTTCCCCCTTCCTGGAAAGAAGCTTCTGTTTTACTCTCTCGTTTTCATGGACCCCCTCTAAAAATATTTGGGGGTGTCTTTTAAATATTTTCACATCATCTCATGAGGAAGGCCAAGATAAGCACTAAGTACCCTAAGCTGCACGAACCTCACCCAATTTTAACTCTTGCAAAAGGAAACTTTTCCCTCTGGACACTGTTGATCTGGTTTCTCTAACAAGCCCTGCATGTCTTTAAAAGGCAGCATTTGCATTCTAAAAGGGAGAATTGCCCAACTCCTCTTTTTTTATTATTATTATTCACAGGGGCTATTAATTGATGGCCTTGTTATCGAGACCTTCCTTTCAAGGAAATCAATTTATTTCGGGCTGTCAAGAAGGAAGGGAGAGGAAAAGAACAGAGGCAGCAAGACAGAGTAGGAAGGAGTTGATTAAAAGAGGTGGTTGTTTTTTTTTAAAGGTGGGGACAAATGAAGTGGAGGAAAGTGTCTTTGGTTGTAATAAAAATGCTGATTTTTGAAATATAAAAAAACAGATCGGGTAATGAAGAAAAAAAACAGTGCAGCCCCGATGGCAGGACTTTAGGGCTGGATCAAAACAATGAGGGGCAGGTGAGACCATAATCCAGCTTCAGAGAGCTCTCTCCCTTAAAGGACTAAAAAATTGACTAAGCAACCTGCCTTTTGGTACTCTCCATGGGGTTTTCATGGCAAAGATACTGGAGTGGGTTGCCATTTCCTTCTCACCCTGCCAACAAAAGTGCGTATAGTCAAGGCCATGGTTTTCCCAGTTGCAATGTATGGCTGTGAAAGTTGGACCATAAGAAAGGCCGAGCGCCAAAGAATGGAGGCCTTTGAACTCTGGGGCTGGAGAAGACTCCTACGAGTCCCTTGGACTGCAAGGCGTTCAAACTGGTCAGTCCTAGAGGAGATCAACCCCGACTGATCTTTAGAAGGCCAGATCCTGAAGTTGAAACTCAAGTACTTTGGCCACCTAATGAGAAGGAAGGACTCACTGGAGAAGGGCCTAATGCTGGGAAAGAGTACCCACATCTGGAGTGTATCTGTCTAGAAGTTGCAGAGTTCTAGATTGAGATGTTGCTGGATTTAGTCAACTGCTTTCTGTGATCTGTCCAAGGTTCTGAAGAAACAGCCCTCACTGCAGCCTCTAGGACAGGGGTCTTCAAACTTGGCCCTTTTATGACTTGTGGACTTCAACTCCTAGAATTCCTTAGCAAGGCATGCTGGCAGAGGAATTCTGGGAGTTGAAGTCCACAAGTCATAAAAGGGTCAAGTCTGAAGACCCCTGCTGTAGGATCTGGCCAAGGTTTTGCCACATTAGACTCCTCTGGACCATCTAATCCCAGAACTATGCTAGAAGATGTATAAATGAAATGAGTCTCCCAAAATGGGGAGGGGGAAAGGACTGTGACTTGACCACTAGTCAGGTCACCAGAATTGGGCACACTCTTCCAAGTGTACAGTATACACCACGACCCCCATGTAATCTGCAATGTCATAGACAGGTTAATAAAACTTGAAGAGAGGAGAGAAAAAGGGGGGAAACTTGATGTAAAGTTCTGCAGTGCTTTGATTTTTTTTTTATGTGTGGACTTATACTGCTATGCATACAGGATGCACACACTGATCAAACACCTTGCTCCCTCATGCAGAAATAAAACTTGAATTGACTATTTCATCAGGATGATTTGGAGAGTGTTCAAATACCGTGCAAGAGTAGATACACGACTTAAAGAAATGCCACATGGAAATAGCCTGGTGTTAGATCAAATGCACCAACACATCAAGGTTCCTTTTGATAATTTGAGGGGGGGGGCGAGGAGAAGGTACAAGTGGGCTAGAAATGAAAGTGAAACTGGGTGCAAATGGGTGTGGAGCCTTCTTGGAACTGCTGAAAGGACTCAGTTGTAAACAGGAGGGAGGGGGTGTCATATCCCTCCCCCTCTGTTGAGAGAGGGCTGTTCACTCTTACGTCTAGATGGCCTCATTGACCCCTCTTTCAAGCCAGCGGTTTCAAATCACAGTAAGCACTGAGTCCTTTAAACGGACTC